AAGTTTTGGCACGAGCTTGAAGTATAAGCCTGTTCCAAGGGGAAGTGTTGGAGGCATATTAAATGCAAGAATAAAATTTAATTTTCATGACTAGGCCTCCGAATATGTGTACACTTCTCGAAACAGAAATAGTTCAAACATTATTGCCTTTGGGGATCTGATGCCTCCCACCCCAAATAGTTTATTCCATTACCTCGCATAACCCCAATCCCAAACCTTCCATCCCTGTAGTAAGTATTGTATTACCCACGCCTTTCACTTGTACACTGAAGATGGAGGCAGTAGATTCCTCAGAATCCTTAATCATTATGTATCTTACTATCAGATTGTGTGGCTTCATGTTTTCCGAAGTTTCAGACATCTTTTTATATAATGGCTACATTTATTGCATGTACTTGGCTTTGTGTGCACAGTTGCAAAAGACTGCCCTGTATGTGGTGTGTTTTCCAATCAGATGCTTCTGTCATCAGCTGTAGCTTCATGCTGCACTACAGACTGACTTCTTTCATTGCCCATTGTAAATGAACAGGTATTTGTCTTAGAGGATGTTTCTCTCCCAGAACAGCAGTCTTTATTGGTTTTTCCAGCTATTTATACCAGATTGCTCATCTTGGTGACGACGACGACGAACCTGAATTCAGTTCCGCTATGCCCTTGGAAGAGGGTGACACTTTCTTCTTTGCACCAAGACCACTACGAAATCTAGTCCTTGTTGATGAGCTGGACTCTCTTTCCCCCATTTTGGCATGCCAAGTTGCAGATTTGGGTAAGTGTAATTTTCAAATTAAATGCAGAAGCTCAGTTACTGTTAATGATAAGTGATGAATCAGAGTACATGATGACTTACCTTTGGTCTGTGTTTATGAATCTGCTAGGGATTATTCTTAAATTCTGATTTCTCTGGAACTGACATATTCTGTGCCTGTTTTTAAAGCCTGGTGTGTTTGACTGATCTACTGTTTGATTTTGACTGCCAGCTAATGAGGACACACCACAACTGTACATGCTGTGTGGGCGTGGACCTCGGTCTTCTGTGAGAGTTTTAAGACATGGGTTGGAGGTGTCTGAGATGGCGGTTTCAGAACTTCCAGGCAACCCAAATGCTGTTTGGACTGTAAAAAGACGAGTCGATGGTGAGTTGTTTCACCACTTCAAGTTCCTGCTATGATTGAGCTTTCCTATAAAATACAAAACTGGGTAACCAAGATGTATGTTAATGTGTTGACGTTCAAAATTGAGGTTTTCACGACAGTGACTGATAGTCTGTTCTGCAAGTAAAGGCAGTATGTTTCTACCAAACTATATAGCATCACATCCCAAGAGATATACATGTTCTCATAGAGTCAGAAGTTTTCATTCAGGCAGGGTTCAGATGGTGCCATTTGAGGTAGTGGTAATGTATGTCGTGTCACAGTATTTATGTAAAAGAACAGGCTTCGTTACAAGTGATGGGAAACAATGGACACCAGACATTGGAGTGGGGGATCCCCCTGTTCTCTGGTGATTATCTGTCATCCCAAAATTGAAATTTTTCTAGTACTGGGAGATTTAAAACCCCTGTTCCCAGATGGTCAACGTTAAAAGAAAAGGTCAACAGCATATAACAGTTACCCTTCATAACTGTCACCTTGGAAAGCAGTAAACCTATACATCAAGGCCAACCATTGTAACCAAAGTGCAAAGTGATGGAAAGAGAAATTTTACTTTATGGGTGGTGCAGGCTTCTTGTCTGTAGGTTGCATGCTCATGCAGTATAGTCGTGTGTTGTTAACGTGTTGGAGGAACCCGCTGCCTCCATTGTCAGGTGCCAGCAATAGTACCTTGAGGAGGCAGGTAGCAGGTGGTTTCTGAAACCTTGGTACCGCCATTGAAACTTAAATGGCGTAATGATTGAGAAGACTGGAATCGTAATTTTCACAGCTGTAAAAGAACCCTCAAATCTCATGAACTGTACACATACTGCCAACTTTTTTCACAATTTATTTTATATTGAGATAAGCTGGGGGGTAATTTTAGTTACATGACTTAATCTGTTATGCAAGGGACTTTGTTTCTTATGAAAGTTTTTTATTTCTTGTGTTTTAAAATTGTAATAATTGACATGTTTTCTGTTGATTCTGTATGCTAGGTACTTTCATGTTTAAATGTCTTGTGCATTTAAAAATAAATTTTTTGGTGATGGCCATTTTAGTTGATGGAAATTGTTCCTCCCACTTCATGTATACCATAATCATGTTTGCAGAAGTAGAATATAATAACTAAAACTGGTGGACTTGATACAATCTGTCAAACACCAGTTGATTTTTCTTTCAGGCCATCTGGGAGCATATATAATGGAGAATTCTGTGGGCATTGAAGAGAGGTGAGGAATTGTGAAGTTGGAGCTACTCTTCTCCAAAATATTTGTATTTTACAAAGTACCCCTCAGTTTTTCTACCCACTTGAAGACGTATCTAAATGGCACCCATTTACAGTTAAGGTTATTTTCCCTTTTTCAAAAACACAGTTAAGATGGTAGCTGCCCTTGGTAAACAGGTAACTCGTATGGGGTTGTGTTCATGAAAATCACTTTGTATGTCAAAATCACCTGAAACTGGAAAAGAGCTAAATAGATTCTGAGTCCAGTGGAGAAGGAACAGGTAACAACATGACTCAAACCAAATGTTGAGGCTAGTTGAGGATATTACCCACACAGCTCACTGGGCAAGGGCAGTAGCTTTTTCCATGGCCGAAGATGGGACATTGATGACGAAGGTGCCTCTGACACCGTCACCTTTATGTGAACATTTGATGTGCTGTTATTGGTGTGTGTGAATAGTTTTGTGGGCCGTGACAGTGTTGCTGCTTTTGGCAGAAGTTAAAGTCTCTGACTTAATGTTGGGCACTGAATGGTTTTCACAGTTTGAAGTTTTGAATAATCAGTTTAGAATGTAGAAATGTGGAATGAATGGGTCCGGACAGCATACATATGTGAATCCTACACATATTAGAGCATGTATTAAGATCAGAATGAAAAGTGATTTGAACATAAAGTGTAGAGAAAAATATTTTATATCCTACAAAGTTTATCGCGAGTTTTCCATTTTCCCGAACAGTTAAACCAAAGGAAATCTCTGTATTTCTGAACCTGTATATTCAGCAGTAGCTGTTCTTTATTCTTCAGGATGATAAACCCTTCAATTGTTACACAAAAGATAGTAATTAAGACAGATTGTTTGCTTTAGACTGCGTTGCAGTCAGATTTGTTTTATTCTGTCGCAGTATAATTTTGATGCATATGCCACTGGTAAAGAAGTTATATATGTTTAATTTTTGTATAGTAATAGTTTTCAAAGTATGCATCCGGTTGTGTGTCTTAACATACTTTGGAGTGGGGCAACCAACACAACAATAACAATATTCAGTAAGACAAAATAGATACTATTGTATCAACATTTGTTTAGTTGGTTCTTATTGTGACATGTTTCAACCTTTCCTTTTTGTGTATTGCCTGAGGATGACCTAAGGAAGAAAGGTCAAAGGATGTTACAATGAGAACTGCACCAATAAAGCCATGTTGATAGGATGGTATCTATTTTGTCTTATTGAGTATTATTATTATTGTTGTGTTGACTGCCCCATCTGAGAAGTATATAATAATAGTTGACCATGAAACCTTAGTATTTATTGTTTATTAATTCAGTATATCATTTTGGCTTCGTGTCAATTTGAATATATATATTAATTAACAGTGGCCAGAAACAACAGTTGCATGGAAATTTGTTTATTCTAAGGGAAGAGTTCTTTTTAGCACTAATTAATTTTGTCTAAAATAAGACACCTTCAAAATTACAAAGTGTGACATCTGTTCCTCTTATTAGCAGCATAAGTAATTTCGACAGTGTGGATGTTAGCAGCATGAAAGTTGTTCGTACAAGATTGTTGGTTGCTAGTAGAATGGTATGAAGAATTGAAATTGCTTGGAAATTGTCTGTAAGGGCTGAGGAAAATCATGAAAACCTCATTTGGGGTAGGGGTAGCTGGTGTCCTGGCCAAGATTGAAACCAAACACCTCACAAATACAAGTCTGGAGCAACCTCTTCAGCATACTGGCATGCATGATTCTGAAGTTTTTCTTTGATGCTGTTACAGAAGAATACGATGCATACATCATAGTGTCCTTCGTTAATGCCACTTTAGTATTGTCAATTGGTGAAACTGTTGAAGAAGTAACAGATTCTGGTTTCCTTGGCACCACTCCTACCCTATCGTGTTCAGCCCTTGGAGAGGATGCGCTTGTACAGGTGGGTGAGTTACATTTATATCTCCTTAATTATTGTTGGCATTATGTTAAAATGATAAACGTTTGTTCACTGTTCTTGACTGAGAATTTGGTAACTGTTTTCTCCCAGGTATATCCAGATGGTATTCGTCATATCCGTGCAGACAAGCGTGTAAATGAATGGAAAGCACCAGGAAAGAAGACCATAGTTAAATGCGCAGTGAACCAGCGTCAAGTTGTCATTGCTCTCACTGGAGGAGAGCTTGTGTACTTTGAAATGGACCCAGTAAGTGTTAGCATTATTATGTTTTTAAGTTCAGATGGCAAGAAAGTATGAGAACTAAGAATATTGCTTGGGTAAAGTAGAATTCCATATAAGGATGGCTTCTGTGGTCTAGTGGTAAGAGTTCCTGGCTACAGATCAGAGGTCCTGGCTTCGATTCCCAGCACTGCAAGATTTTCTGAGATGGTGGGTGTGGAGTGCGGTCCACTCATCCTCGTGAGGATAATTGAGTAGCTATTTCAAGGAAATGGCGCCTCTGGTCTAGAAACCCGAGAATAACGGCCATGGGGATCCGTTGCACTGACCACGTGACACCCTCTATCCAATATTGCAATATTGAAAATTGTGCAGGTGTTGCTGCTTGGTGCTACAGAACATTGGTTTCTTTGCAGACGGGACAGCTTAATGAATACACAGAGCGCAAAGAGATGCCTTCTGAGGCAGTGTGTATGGCCCTTGCTAATGTGCCTACTGGGGAGCAGAGGTCTCGCTTCCTTGCCGTGGGCTTGGCCGATAATACAGTGCGAATCATTTCGCTTGATCCCTTGGTAAGTTTCTCATCAGTTTTTCTAATTGCAGGTTATGGTAATACTACATTTTAGCTGCCTCTAGGCCATGAGGGCTCAGAACATAGATTACGTGTTCCATTTTTGATCAGGCACATGGAATAAAACCTGGTACAGGATAGAACTGATAGGAACTTGTGAATATAGGTTGGTGACATCACTCCATGCTGAGGTTCTTGTTACAGCCAAAGGGCAGTTAATCACCACCTGTGCCTCGCATAACTGCAACAGCATATGTGCATGGTCCAGGTGACTCAGGTATTTTATTTCTCTCCACAATATTAATACCTTACATTACTTAAATATGGCCATCACGCCACTAAAATGAGATGTAAAATGTCCTGTTTCTGGATAGGTTCTTGTGCCAAAATTAAAATAATTTTGCCAGCCCTATAGTATTATGATGTTGAGAATCCCTGTACCTGGAAGATGCAGATTAAGGGAGAGTCTTCTGTTAATTTTAATGCCATAAGTGATTAGTGTGGTGAAGTGCTTGCGCTGAAGGAACTCGTTACTGACTGTAACATGTATTATAAAAAACTGGGTATGTGTGCATGCAACAATTTTGAAGGGGCTCAAAATTTTAAAATACTCCAGGTGTCACTTAACATGAGTTTTTGCTACAAGTTCCGGATGCTTTCTTGCAGGACTGCCTTTCCCCGCTTAGTATGCAGGCCCTTCCTGCAGCAGCTGAATCTCTCTGCATAGTAGAGATGGGAGTGGGGGAGGCAGGGGGTGAAGGTGAGCCTGGAACCAGTGGCTCACTCTACCTCAATATAGGACTGCAGAATGGTGTGTTGCTGCGGACTGTATTGGATCAGATCACGGGTGACTTGGCAGATACGAGGACACGATACCTTGGATCTCGTCCCGTAAAACTGTTTCGTATCAAAATGCAAGGCAGTGAAGCTGTGAGTCTATCTTCTGTATTTACATTTATAAGTAATTAGGATTGAAGAGAACTAGGTTACTTAATAGAGAACTCACTTATCCATTTGCATACTTCCTGGTTCTACTTTTACTCCGAATGCTGAAATTTTACAAATTCAAGAGAAGGAACATAGATACAAGAAAAAACTGCAGACTGCTGCAAGAGATGCCAAAGAGTGTAAACAGCAAAGATATTACACTCAGCATGTAGTCATAATGTGGTGGTATTGTTGATTTCTAACGGTGGGCGTGTACAGCAAAATAATGTCCAGCCATATCCAGTCCAACTCCTATCACCCACACTCCTGCAGAGTCCACTTTCAAAATGTGGGTGCTTGTTGCATTTGAGGGTACCTGTCCACAAGTCACATGGATTGATTTATGGTCAGATTTTGTCCTGTAGCTGGTGCAAATGAATGCATACAATTTGAAAACAGAAATTCATCGCTTATCTTTGCAGTATAATGTAGGCAGTTATAAATATGTGCTGCTGTGTAAAATGGCAGAAGTAATTGATATTCGGGTTGAATAAAAACTCTAGAAAGCTTGTTTTGTTTAATTTGATATTATCCAAATCTTGGTTTGCAATTGGTAATGCATTAGGAGAGAAGCATAATGCCACATTCATGCATCTTTCACGCATGCAAAAGGACATTCACAGTGGATACTTCTAGATGGCAGCACAGTTGATGCATGTTATTGTGTTAGTGTCTTCATGTAGATGTATAATAGCTGCCATTCTAGAACTTGTCAGGTGTTGATGTAAAGTATTTTTGACAGAGCTTCTCTAAGCAGGGTATGTTACATATGAATATAAATTTGTTTCTTGTGAGATATCATTTTACACATTCACTGATGATTTGAACACCTTGTTCCCTCATCTTCCACCTATAAGAAATCCATTGCAAGAAAGTAGTACCACGGGCTTGGGATTTATGGCTGAATTAATGTGCCTAAACATTCCAGAGAAGTAGCATTTACATTTGATGATCTGATTTCCCATAATATGTTACGTATTCCATAGATTCTGTTTAATAACCTACAACATTTTAAAACTAAAATAATTAGCAAAATGGTAGTGACATTTAATACAACAAATACTGTCACATAACATTCATTCCTTATGTGGGATTTCAGCATGTAAACCCAGAAACAAATTTTGTTGCATTGAGAATGTCGGTAGTAGCAGCATTCACAAATAAGTGACAGTTGTTAAAAAAAAATTTGCAGATGGTGTAGTTTCTAGTTGAATCGAACTGTTTTGACAAATTTTGTGTATGCTTTGAATGTTGAAACTTTGACCTGACTGCATCTCACCCTCTCTTCTGGCACATCCATCTTCTGGGTTTCTGTTTCAGAAGCTGGTTATGCTTGTCTTCAGGCAAAGGGTCTAGTGATCGAGACTGCCTCATTCCAATGAATCTGTTATGTTAGGTCCCCTTGCCCCTTTTTTTCTGAAGGCAGAACCAGATTTTTTTTAATAATAATCCAAGTGATAGTTAATCTCCAGGGCACTAAAACTGATTTTGACTGAGGGTTTTATATAAATACTGTATGCTCTGACATTTTTTTACTTTTGACATTATTTATGAATAATTTCATTGTGAGAAACTGGGCTAAAATTACAGTGACCACTTGTCTTATTACCATAAAACAGTTCAGCATCTTCTTTCCTTCATATGATGTACCTTTACCAGATTGAGACAGTCCAGTGACTTCTCCCTTTCCCGTTTAGAGGTGGTTACTCATAGTTCCATCCTGATTTTAAAAGGATTGATTTTTGGAAAAGTGTTCAGCTTATGTTTGAGCACATATGGTGGTCTAAGCAAATTCATTTCATCACAATTTGAAAATATTGTAACTCTTATTGCTTGAACATTCTGGCCTATATTGGCATGGTTATAACTGGCTATTCGTATTCTGTTAATTATAGAGGCTTTGGTTGCGTTGTGTATGACTACAGATGTCGTGAAATGATTGTACTCCGTGTTTCACCTGATATAATATGATTACAGCATTATGTCTGATCACGGCTTTAATAACTTGTTAAAATTTAACTGCAGTATGAAATAATAATTTTGTAATGTGATGATACCTTTTGTCTTTCACAGGTTTTGGCCATGTCAAGTCGATCATGGTTGAGTTACTATTATCAGAATCGTTTTCATTTGACACCTTTGTCTTACGAGTCACTCGAGTATGCCTCAGGCTTCTCGTCAGAACAATGCCCAGAGGGAATCGTTGCAATTTCAACAAACACACTTCGTATCTTGGCTCTGGAGAAGTTGGGTGCTGTCTTCAATCAGGTGTGTGTCTATGAAGGGTGTTCCGTATATAATGCCTCCTATTTTTTTGTGTTAATATGTAACGTCTGAGCTGGATGTTGGTGGTGTTGTAGTAAAGGTTGAACCTTAATAACTGTAAATAGCTGAAATCTTGCTCTGTTTAACTGTGTTATTATGCTTTCTGTATATGTTGTAGTTTTCATTAAAAAAGAAATAGGTATTATATACGGAACGCTCGTATATTACAATGAAACAGAAATTTGGAGTTCATGCATTTAATGAACATTTTCTCTACCCCTGCCTGGCCTAATAAAAAAACTATTTGTATAGAAATAATTTCCTTCATTACATATTATTTTACTGCAGTTGGGTGCTCACCCAGTGGCAGTAGACATACATTGTACTATTCATGAAGGGAACAATACAAATGAACTACACAATGATCCCAGTGCACTTGAGTTGCTCAGTATGTAATGGCAATACTGCTACAGGATCCTCGGTGTGTGTAACGTCACATAGGTACATGTGATACTTTTGTCCTCATACTTCACTATAACTCATTTCATTTCACTGCACTTCACATCACTTCACTTATTTCCATTCAGTCCCCACTTAAGGCCTCTCTGCTTGTAACTGCTTCCCTGACCCTCTTTCTAAAAGTGTTTAATTTACAAGGGAAGGATGCTAGTGCACCTGCAGGCAAACTGTTCCAATCTTTATGGTCCTACTTACAAAGCAATATTTACCAACATCAGTTCTTTGTTTCCTACTCGTAATTGTCCTACCATGATTGTCCCTAGTCACGTAGCATTGTTTTAGCAGTAAATAGTTTTATCATAATTGTACACAGTAAGTTTTATGAAAAGATGAACGCTCTTGTGATATAATTTTTCATAACCCGCACTTAGTGAAAACCTATATTTACTGCAAGAAAATCCATTCCTCTTATAGAGATTCATTAAGTAGGATTTCGGTGCAAATGAGTGATCTCAGATATTTGTTATGAAGCAGCTAACAGAGGTTGCCAGTGCACACATCATGGTATTGTGTATCTTAGTATACATTTTATGTCGTTCCTTCATGTTTGTTGACCAATTCCCTCAGTATTCCTGAATGGGCTGTCATCTATTGGATTGGACATGTGGGTCCTACATTCAAATGATATCCTCCCTTGGTTTGTCTCAATATATGACAAATACAAGTTTATGTTACCACTGCCAGAAATTTTGGACACTAATACCTGTTGGCATTTTTTCAGCCCTCCCGGGAAAGTGCTCCTTTTTTCAGTACTGATAACCATTAGCCTAAAGTTAAAATATGGCCACCAGTCGCCTAGTACAGCAAGATTTAAAACATTGTGTTTCTAGTCACCATCCATACTACTCCTCACTTATAATATGGTTACCAACCCCTTAATATTGGGAGGTTAAAATCCTCTTTCTGCTATAGCTGTTCTCTCCTCCGGTGGTGGTAATGATCACAGCTGCTTATCCATTCACTGCTCCAGTTTCAGGATACCTTCAAAATTTTTTTCTCTAGTACCCTTTCTAGCTCCTTCTCACTAGGTTATTAGGACAAGGAAGGTGTGGAAGTTTGTGTGGAAGGCACCAGTAAAGAAATCAGTACTGAAATGAAAAGACAGCTGAAACATGTAGCAGGGCCGAAAATGGTCTGATATTGATATTAGTTGTGTCGTGACGGATATAATAGAGGTTGTAAAAGACATACTGTTGATACCACTGTCTGTTCATGTGAAGGCCCCGTGCATGACAGAACCTTCTCAAATCTGATGTTACACAGCAGAGTGTCACCAGTTTTTGTGTCCATTCAGCATGAAGGTTAGTGACAGTCTCTCAGAGGGTAAGATGGCTGACGCAACTAAGTTCTTCAAACTGTTACATCTATTTAGATTAATTTTTTTGGCTCAATTTAAAATGTATGAGTCTCTAGAATAGTTGTATTTACCAGTGAAATTTTACTTCTGGGCAGATTCAGTACTTCAAATCCCTAGCAGTCTTTGACCATCCCTTGATGCATTATTGGCTTCATGTGGGCTGTTGTCAGTGTTTCACTTAACTAGCAGCTCACTTCTTTCGTTACTACTCGGATTACAAGTGGCTCACAACTGGCTTCAGACTGTTAAATTCTAAGAAACGATGCAGTAAGCAACGTCTTGTATTCTGGCAAGAATGAATCTGTGTTATGTGTGTATAATGGTTGGTTACAATGGTTGCCGACCCCATAGTTCTGGGAGGTTTAAAGTCCTCGTGTTCCCTTATGATAAGTGCTTCTGGAAGAATTCCTTGTGATGTACTTCAAAACGTATTCCACTATGGTGTGTGCACAGCCGCTGACAACTTCAGTAGGGCACCAACATATCATGAACTCATCATTCCTATGTGATTTGCAATGTAAGTTGCTTTCATGATAGAAAATTGTCACTTCATTTGTAGCCTGTATAAGTGCATCTTCTGCTTTTAGGGAATATGGATGTTTCACACAGAATTATTCCATCTTTGCTATGTCAAATTTTCAGAAATTAATTACATTCAGATGCTCTTGCAAAACACTCTTTGAAAGTGACATGTTCAGCATACTTGGCGCCGTCAGTTTTGCTGTTGTATTGCATACAATATCTTGCGTAGTAGCAGGAATCTTTGATAGCATCAGCCACAAGCCATATTGATACAACATATGTGGTGCGTTCAAGTTCTAAGGTCTCCGATTTGTTTTCTCACACAATTATCATACAAAAAATTTGAAACTTCTGCCACTTTTCAACATAATCTCCCTGCAGCAGTACACATTTTTCACAACATCGACGCCATGATTCCATGGCCGCTGCGAACACTTCTGTGGGAGTCTGTTTTGACCACTGGAAAATTGCTGATGCAATAGCAGCACGACTGGTGAATGTGCGACCACGGAGAGTGTCTTTCATCATTGGGAAAAGTCACTAGGAGCCAGGTCAGGTGAGTAGGGAGCATAAGAAACCACTTCAACATTGTTTTCACGAAGAAACTGCTGCGTCACATACATCCGATGTGCTGGTGCATTGTCCTGGTGAAAGAACACATGTGCAGCCTTTTCTGGCCGTTTTTCTCGCAGTGCTGGAAAGAGCTTGTTCTTCAAAACATCTTGGTAGGATGCACCTGTCACCATAGTGGCCTTTGGAACGCAGTGAGTAAGGATTATGCCATCACTATCCCAAAATATGGCCACCATTTTGTCAGCACTGGCGCTTACCCAAAATTTTTTTGGTGGTGGTGAGTCTGAGTGCTTCCATTGAGCTGACTGGCGCTTCAGTTCAGGATTGAAAAACAGCATCCAAGTCTCATCCATTGTCACAGTTGATGAAAAGAAAGTCCCATTCATGCCATCATCACGTGTCAACATCGCCTGGCAAATTGCCATGCGCGCAGCCTTGTGGTTGTCCGCCAGCATTCATGGCACCCACCTGGAGGACACTTTCCGCATTTGCAGGTCTTCATGCAGGATTTTGTGCACAGATCCCACAGAAATGCCAACTTTGGAGGTGATGCTTTCCGCACTCAATCAGCGATCCTCCAAAACAGGTTTCTCAACTCGCTTGACCATGTCAGACCGGCTGGTGCGAGGCCGAGATTGTTTTGGTTCGTTGTCACACGACGTTCAGCCTTCTTTGAACTGTCGCACCCACGAACACACATTTTTCACATTCATGACACCATCACCACACGTCTCACTCAACTGGCGATGAATTTCAATGGGTGTCGCAGCACGCAAGTGGAGAAAACGAATGATTACTCGCTGTTCTTATAACGAAAAGTCGCCATTTTAAGTATCAAAAACACTCCTCACACTTGCCGCCACCACTAGAGTTCGGTGTGCCATACAGTGCTGCTATCTCTGTCACACATTCACAAAGAGTGCACACATAATTTAAACTAAACCTCATGTGTCTCTTTGCTCCCAGTCCTGAGAAAAAAAATTGGAGACCTTAGAACTTGAACACCCCTCGTACCTCTTTTGAAGTAGCAATATTTATATAGGTCTGTAGCCATGGAATGATGAATTCTTAATCCGTGTTTCATCTGAACAATGATTATAATCTGCTTGACTGGCTATGGCTTTTGAATGTAACCATGTTAATTCCTGTTGAACTAAAGAAGTTTCGACAAATTCAGCATAATTCAGGTGTTTTGGTTTGAGGTTGTGTGTTGTATATTCAGAATGTTAAAATTCCTGTTTTACAGGTGTCTTTCCCAGTGGATTATACACCTCGTAAATTTGTGATCCACCATGAGTCTGCACACCTGATTATTACAGAAACAGAGCATAATGCTTATACTGAAGACACAAAGAAACAGAGGCGAATACAGATGGCTGAGGTATGAGTTTAGTGCAACCACTTTCATAAATCCAGTGTGATACACTTGTATTTGAGATCCTTGTGTGATAACTGGGTGTGTGAAAACAAAGGTTTCAGATCTTATACTGCTGATTCTTTCAACTGTGCATTAACAGTGACAGCTGTGTGTTAAATGCAATCAACTTTCATAGTACAGGAACTGGGGATTTTAAATCTCCAGTGTCGTGTGGCACGCTGGCTGCCAAGTTTAACTTGGGGTACTGAAAAAAAATGCAGTACCTCCCCAGTGGGACTGCATTCAAAAACAACCATTCAAGGTATGCTCACCTGATGAAGAAAAATTTGTCCTTGAATTCATTTTAGTCAATATATTCAGCAGAGATAATTTATGAGGCCTCTATATCTTGTCATATCCTTTCCATTCATTGCTATATATGGGAACAAACCAATCCTTTGTACAAAAGAAGAATCGCTTGGGGCATCAAATGATTCTTGCAGGATGTCACCCGAATACAAAGTTCTTCATAGAGAGCTCCAGAAAGATGATGAAAGCATTAACATTTACACCTGACATTACAGTGATGTGATGTCCTGCAGTTCTGATTTTTGTTGTAAATCCCGATCACATAACGGAGTATAAACCTGTTTATCATGCTTGCATACAAGTATGGTGCCTTTCCATATTTAAAGGAAATGCAAGAGGCTGCCGGAGAGGAGGAGCAGGAGCTTGCCCGTGAGATGGCAGAGGCATTTCTCAATGAGGACTTGCCAGAAAGTGTGTTCAGTGCCCCAAAGGCCGGGCCAGGCATGTGGGCTTCTGTAATTCGTGTCCTGGATCCAGTTGAAGGCAAGACAGAGCAGCTGATAAAGCTGGACCAAAATGAGGCTGCTCTCAGGTAAACATTCTCAGTAGAATTTAACCTTTAACCTACGGACTTATAAATTGCTGGCAGCCCTCTGCAGCAGGTATTTAAATTGCCCTAATTAACATTGCAAACTTTCAGAAAAAATACATGCAGTCTATGCAACATAGAAATACAAACTAAAAACAACCTGAAAGACAATAAAATTGTCTACATATACTCAAAAGAGCAATTTTTACAAACGAAAATTAACTGTGATTATTTTGTCATGAAATAAAAAATATAATCTTTTATATATATGTTATGATATTCCAAAGGACTTACCCATTGTTTTTTCTTCAACCTTGAATCCTGGTGATATTGTAAATATAGTCACACTATATACAATAATATTTTGTTCAGACTGTACACGAGTTTGAACTGCGTCGCTTCACTGTTTACGATACACTCTGACGTCCGTGGCACTTCTCGAAGCAGTCCACATCACCCTTTTTACAATACAAGAGCATGCTCCTCCTTATTAGTGAAACACAATGTCTTTTGTTTCCCTTTGGTTGACCAGTGTTGTGAATGTTTCACCTCCAGTTGACTCAGTTGGGCTCCAGACAACCTTGGCCTCCCCCTGATAAACACCACTGAGATATTCGCCTTGTGCAATTGAAGAATCATCTTGGGGGGAGGGGGGGTTCTAGCAAAATCGAATAAATTATGTTCATTGACAAAGCAACACTCACCTGTTTGTAATACTTGCAAAATAGTGATGCATAGTAATTATAATACTAATCGAAAAGAGTGCCAGTCCGACACTGATACCGAAAGTCACAGTGGTGAAGATGCCTTTTACTCACAAAGTAATACTGGTTCAGTGGGTTTATACCTCTTCCCAGACACAAAATAAAAATGATATACAAGAAATATATGACAGTCTGACAGTGACTTTCTGACTGATAAAGAAATATTAGACAACCCGACACTGACATCCTAACTGATAATTCGCCACTGAAAACGAATCTTTGAATGCGTCACACTTTCTTGAAGGCTCTGGAAGCACTCATATGCAAGCACCGATGAATATTTCCTCGTCAGTTCTCGAAACAAAGCTGGGCTATATTTGGCTGACCAAGTCATAAACATTCATATCTAAACATAAACAGTATCGAAACCAGTACTGTGATAAACGATTTCATTGTTCAGAGCTCCAAAAGGGGGCACTGTCCTGCCATGTATAATTATAACATTCGGCCAACACGGTGCTGCTTGCTGCATATATATATATAACATTCGGTCTTAAAGGTTAATATGACCACTGATCTCATACATATTGAGACAGTAGTGTTCTGGAAAAATCTCTCTCTCATTGCTTCTGCACATTGCTTTAATGAAGTATGTTTATGTAAGAAACTGTAATGATCATGATTATGTCATTGGTGCCATTTTTCTGATCTTTGATACACGTCATTATTAACATGTATTGTAAAATAAGTTTATCAGAGAATGAAATGAGTTTGGCATGCTGTGTTGCACTCAGAGCTTTCAGAATTTGTTCTCATGTAAGATGTTTAAATTTGTTTAGTCTTTGGGACACTTCTATTTACTAGTGGAGTTTTCACTGTAAGTAGACCAGTTTCATGCCTTAGACTGCCTGTTGGAAATCCCGAGGCTGATTAGGGATGACTGTGGTTGCATACAAAAACAACAGGAATTTCCTCAAATGACCTTCAAGTGACAGCTAAGCTCATTATTTTCTCAAAACATTGGTATGTTAAGAGTAGATCCATTCTATTAATAGGAGAAATGCTGTACTAATTGACTAACAAAGAACTGATCTCTTTGGCTGTGGAAGTTTTAACACCCATGCCCCAGACCAATCCAGTTTGTACTTGGGGTGCAGGGGGTTAATACGAACTTGAACTCTGATGTGTGGTTTGATTTTCTGTAAACATGAATATAGCTGAGATGTGTTACATTAGATTGCCTTTACTTACAGGAATAAGTAATGCTCGTAAAGGTTGATTCACTCCCATCTGGAATTTAATCTCATTCAAAATACACATATGAAACTAAAGAGGTTTTTATGCAGTACATATTTTAATGCAGCTTTGAGTTCAAAAAAGAAAGTATGGCATATAGAACCAATCACTTATTAACCTTTACATCTAGGACTGGGAGACTTCCAGATTCCCTAGTGCTATGGGGTTGGCATTCAGATTTTAAAGTGGGGGGTAACAGTATTACCGATTTATTTGGGAATGTTACATTTTGTTACTGATAAAGATGATAATGGCAGTAACACTTGTAACCTGTATTTTAAAAATGCCAGTATAAATCTTGGCCAAGACATTGTCCTGACAGGTTTTTCCTTGCTTTTCCCACTAGTCCAGACGAATGCCAGGATAGTACCTTAAATTGGACCACAACCGCTTCCTTTCCCAATTCATTATCTGGTCATTCTGTGCTATGTAGCCTGAGTGTCATTAAATAAAAAATATGAGATGTCTGAAGCACTGTAGCATTTACTCTTTGTTCTTACATTTCAGTATTGCCTTGGTGAAGTTCGGAAACCAAGCTGATAACCAGCAATTTGTAATTGTAGGAGTTGCAAAGGAGCTGCAGCTAAATCCTCGTCAGGTTGGCGGAGGTTTCCTCTACACTTACAAGTTAGTAGACTTGATATATGTACAGTGGTTCAAACAACAGGTCATTTGTTGCATTATACTTCTGTTTATTATATTGTCACATGTATGGGGTCTGCATGACAGTTTAGATGAGTTTTGGTTTGGATGATTGGATTTATTAACACTTTATACGCTCCAGTCAGAACTACAGGCAGTTATAGCGTTATCACACCCAGTAGTGTCCTTGGTCTTCACTAGTTTTATCCTGGCAACAGATTCATAACAGTCTCACTGTCACTTTAGATCACAAATGTAGTCTTCTTTGCACAGCCTAATTCCTTTCTTGCCATTACTCTGTCAACTGGCAACTCCAGAACAGCCCAATTCTAATTCTAGCTGCATGAGATCCTCGGGGTAGCCCCAACAGAAAGCACCACGTCCTAGGTTGTTCCATGTTGATTCACTGCTGCAAACACTAGTGCTCTCAGTCTGTTTTCACTCTCCACTAGTTGTTTCCTGGTAAGTAACTATAACAGCCTCACTGAATCACTCCAAAGATAACTGTACTACAGCACACAAAGAAGGAAGTTTTCTCATCACAGCTGAACTCTCAGTGAAACTCTCAATTCCTCCTCCATCTGCCAACTGTGAACTCCAGAACTCAGCTCGGTTCTAATTCTAGTTGTGTGAAATCCTCATTATATAGAATCTTGGGGCTGCCCCACAGAGAACACTGCTTGCAACACCTCTTCTATTTTTGCGTAATGTCACCATGTATGTGCTTACATACATACATAATTCATAAATTTACTGATCCGTTTTCCGAATTGAACCTAATATTGAACTCGTCAAAGTAAGACTTGATTGCAGAAGTACAATCGTGTCAACAGCAAACAACCACACACAACCAAAAGCACCAAATAACCATAATTTACATTGTCGTTCATAAACAAAATTACGAGGAATTTATTTATTAACCCTTTGACGTGGTAATTTAAATTCCGCGGCCGCGGCTCCTGCGGTAATATATTCAGCCGGCCATTTAAATTTTGCTCGAAAATTATTTATTCATCATTGTTCTTAAATTCTATGAGATAGGAACATGAAACTTTCACTAAAATGATCTTAAATGGTGGTTTTATAACCTTACCTTATAATATGGGCGCCCTGTATCTCGGCCATGGAAGCAGGTTGTTNTGATGACACATGTGGCTGTCCAAACTATCTAGTGTTTATATGATGAATATTATTGTTGGTTTGAAAAAAATTGCGATTTCTAACAACAAACATCAATATAGAATAGATATATAGGCTAGGAACCGTCAAAATACCCAACCTCTTAAAACCTCTACATGAGTTTCCAGGACTCGATCTCAGCATAACCCTGATCGCTCTTTTTTGGGGCAGCAAATAAACTTTTCATAACTGGAGAAGAACCCCAGAATATAATACTATGTTCAAGCTGAGACTGATAATAAGAAAAATAGACCATTCGAAGAGCTTGTTCACTGACAGGGGATTGTAACTTCCTGAGCATAAAACACGCTCTATTCAGTTTCTTTCATCATTTTTCAGATTGTTTTTTCCAATTTGACAATCCAAATACATACCTAAAAATTAACATTATCAACATCTTTAAGTCTAAAATTTTTATATGTTACCGATAATGTATACTCTGTAGACTTAGGGGTCACAAATTTAATCAGGTGAGTTTTACTCAAATTAAGTACCAGATTGTTGTTTTGAAACCAGCTTGAAACCCTAGTCATAACTCTATTTAATTTGATATTCAAAGAGTTGAGGTCATTTGAGGTAATTAAAATTGTTGTGTCATCTGCTTACTGAGTCGCTCCATAGCAACAGCTGTACACATCACGTCTCGTATCATGACATTTCCTCTATTGTAGAATGCGGGCATTACCTAGCAACAGCCGTTTCTTTGGCTCCACAGTTCCTGCTTTTAGCTAATATGTTACATATTGTGCATAACATCTGAGGTTTACATAGAGTTCCACATTGTGGTTATAGTGTGTTAGCAATACTTGATATGATGCTTGAAACATGTTAGACTAATGAAAGTATATGATTTCAATGCTTAACTGATCAAGTTTGAAGTGCATATTTGTGGCTGTTGTATCAGTGCTGTATGTTAGTGCTAGTAAATATAATTGTCTGGGGCAGAGTGAATGCTGACTGCACACATTTGGATCTGGTCCACAAGACGCCTGTGGATGAAGTTCCTTCTGCAATAGCTCCGTTCCAGGGCCGCATCTTGGTTGGCGTTGGCCGCATGTTGCGTTTATATGACATGGGACGGAAGAAACTACTTCGGAAGTGTGAGAACAAGGTAAAGGGACATGAATTATATGTTGTGTAGCTTCTGTAATCTGTTTGGAAAGCATGCTGTGCAGTTATTTTGGTATGAATAAAGGTGTTTCCATATTACAAGGAATCCCTGTCACATGAATGGAGAAAGATAGTGAGCCAGTGTGATTAAGTTTATAGTTTTCTATCCGTTATTGCCACATTAGGACCTGTTTCCAATATTGTAAAACAGAATCATTTGCTGGGTCTTCAAAAGTTTTTAGTCAGAACAAAAATAATGATTTGGCCATTTTTTTAACTTTTTCTCAGTTACTGTTTTTCACGTAACAGCAGAAGTTACGAACCAGGGGTGTATAGTCGTATTTTACATATTTTTAGTGGAAGGACCAAAAAAGGTCTTGACTTTTTTTATTTATTTATTTTTTTCCCCCTTTATTTATTTATTCGTGGCAGGTGTGTGAATATGAATACATCATAGCATACACATGAAAGGTATGACATTTTACTGTAACACTGCACTTGAACTGAAAGATGCAGGAATGCACATTTGCATTTGGGTAGGTTGTATGAACAGTTTGTTTATAATTCATGCCACTTGAGCTTCCAAATTGTTCGCCTAGAGGAGTACACTGACAGTTAAAAGAATGGTGTCTCAACAACAAAAGGCCAAGCATGTTCTGTGGTTTCAGGAGTGTCAGTGAATAGACTGTGGAGACCAACAGTAGTGTCAGTTTACAAGTGGCACATGCATTGTAATGTGATGGTGTTGAAGGTGCTGCTGTAGCTGAAAGGATGAGGTGACAAGGGGGCTTTTGACAGTGTAGTTATATAAGTCAACATACGATTACGTATAAATAGGTGGCCAGTTGTGTGGCACATTTTTGCAGTTACGTGTTTCACATTTTGGCGATTGTTTGGCCCACTATGTTTCCTGATCTGAAAGTGTAAAACTTCTGTAGTAATATTTCCAAATTTTGAATCACAAGTTTCCAGAGAAATGGATTAGCAGGGGTGTTGGCGTATCACTTGGCCACCTCATTTACCAGACGTTCTTCCCCTGAAATACAAGGTGGTACATTTTTTCCAACATTCTGGAAGCATCCTGATGCCCTTTTCAAAAAAGGCTTGTGGTTGGCTGCATATCCACTCCCAAACAGTCTGGATGACAGCGTCATCCACAAACCGCATGTCTTGCAAGTCTGATTTGAGCCTTCCGAACAGGGACTGTACATCTGATGTGTCAGAAGGTTCCATTTCAGTTTCCGGAGGGTTTCCATTGTTGTTTTGGCTGTATGGGGGTGTGCATTGTCTTGAAGGAAGGCTACCCACTTTCCTCGTGTCTTCTGCTTGGATCGGATCTTTTCCTTCGTGTCTGTTGCCAGGAGGTCTGAGTGATAAGCTGCATTGGCTGTTCTGGCATCTGTCAGAAAGTCTACATGGATAACCCCCTGCCAGTCATAGAAGAACGTTGCCATGACTTTTCCTGCCGAACGGCTCCTTCGCGCTCTTGGGTTTGGGAGAACTGGTATGCTGCCACTCGCGTGATGACTGCTGGGACTCGGGAATGAAGTAGTGCACCCACGTTTCATCGGTGGTCACTATAGACTTCAAAAATGCATCACCTTCATGTTGAAACTGCTGTAGAAGACAACTGGCAACTTAACATGCGCACCATTTTGTTCACTTCCATCAGAGTGCGTGGTACCCACTGTGCATTCACCTTGCGATAGTGCATGTGGTATTTCACGATGTCTTCTACACTACCAACACTGCTGGACAGCATTGCTCCAAGTTCCTTGATAGCGATGCGCCTATTCTCACGAATAAGCACATCTGCATGATCAGTGTTTGGCTCGGTGACGGATGTTCGTGGCCGACAATCATGTGGTTCATTCTCCATGCGCGCTCTGCCCCCTCTGAAGCACTTGCACCGCTCAAACACACGGGTCCATGAGAGACACTCTTCCCCATACTGTTGTTGGAGTCTGATGAATTTCAGTGGACGGGACATTTTCTCCGAGGAATTTTATCACAGTGTATTGTTCCACGTTCCACTGTACCTTCTGTTCGCCCATCACTCTAGCAACTCCCAGACAGGACTGGACAGGTTCTAACCCAAACAGGAGAGAGGGTAGAGGTTGTGGTTTCACTCAAGGTCGCACAGCTGCTGCGCATTGCGGCTTGTTTACACACACATCAGTCCCATTCATGTTCTGTCCCCAAGGTCATCCAGCATCTTATATCTTCCTCGTCTTTAGTCACTTCTATCCGCCCCCTCCCCATCTTTCCTTCAATAACTTCTTTTAGAAGGCAGTTACCACGTAAGATATGANTCAGCCCCATACAGAGCGATGCTCCAAACATAGCATTTCACAAGTTTCTTTCTCAAATTTAATTCCAATTTGCTGATGCAGCGTTTGCCATGGCAATCCTAGATTTAATTTCACACATACACCTTCCATCATCTGTTAACAAGCTACCCAAATATTTAAAACATTTCACATTCTCCAGTTGTTTTTGGTCTATCTTTATTGTGACTGGGGTTGGTTGTCTCGAAATTTTCATTACTTTTGTTTTTTCCACATTCATTTCCATGCCATAGCACCTTCCAGTTTCGATTAGTCTATCAATCATCATCAGTAATCTGTCAAGACGACAGGTCCACAGTCTCTTCCAAAACAATTCCTCCACTTAATGCGATCTAGAGCTTTCTCCTTCAAATGACAGTATCCTCTTCTGTCCCCAAGGTCATCCAGCATCTTCTTACGTCTTCTACTTCGTCTTCTGGTCACTTCTATCCGCCCCTCTATCTTTCCTTCAGTAACTTCTTTTAGAAGGCAGTTTCTGCGTAAAACATGACCAATCCCTCTTATCAGTCATACCTGCAGTAATATGTAGTTTTTATTTTTGGGGCTTTTAGTTCATGAGCGGCGATACAGTAAAATTGTATACATATCACATGTAGACCCTGTATCTTGTCTGTTGTATTATGTATGTATGAATATGTAATACTGTGTTGAAACTTTTCTTATCAGCATATTCCAAACCTGATAGTGAATATCCAAGCAATGGGGCATCGCATCTTTGTGTCTGACGTACAAGAAAGCGTGTATATGGTCCGGTACAAACGACAAGAAAACCAGCTGATCATCTTCGCTGATGACACACATCCACGTTGGATAACAACAGCCACAATTCTCGACTTTGATACCGTAGCCACAGCTGACAAGTTTGGAAATATTGCAGTTGTAAGACATTACTTTGTTTCCTCTGTTGCATTATGTTTTTGGATGAGGGTATCACCACATTTTTTGTAAGATTATACCTTTTAGAACTCATATCTTGATTTAATGTAATTATGATTAACCCTTACACTGCTGCGGTCAACATATGTCAATCTCTGAAGAACATGGCATCCTTGCTGCGATCGACAAAACCCGTATTGCGACTTTAGAGTTTCAAATCTCATGTTTCTTTGCACCAATCTTATTCAAACTTGGCGGTGCATAGTCATCTATTGGGAACGTAATGAAGCATCATTCGTTTCAATGGCTGCATTCTTCTGCCCTCAAGCTTAAGAAATGTAAAAGGTTGCATCTGCACAGCAAGGCATGTGGTACGGGTATTTCACAGGCCTAGTAAAAATGGCTTTGTATAGTGCGCGGTGCTTTCTGAAAAGTTTTAAATAATAAAGTTGTGGACTTTGGTCAACATGTGACATAGTGATAAGGCTAGGATAGTGAATTATGTACTTTTTTTGGCCATCTTGGCCATCCCCTGTGAAAAATACTGAATAATTCAACATTTTTGCAACTTCTAATGCCTGTTCCCTGTCTGAGGTAAGATTAGTTACATTTTATCATAAATTTTCATACTTTGCACTTAAATTATTTATAAAACATTCCCCAGCCAAAAAAATAATTCAGCACAGAGTGTACTGCGAGTTACTTACCATACTAGCAGTGAAAGGGTTAAAACAGCAGTTGATGTTGGAAATTGTTAAAACTTGTGGGAAGTGACATCACATGTTGAAGACAGAAACACCACCACTTGTGGCATCTGTGTAGGAATTCTTTCTTTAAGCACTTTATGAATAAATATTTTTTCATCATTGTGTACAGTATATTTTTAGCATGGTGCAAAGTTTTTAATGTATGTAACTTTGCATAGCTGCCACATACAGTGAAACTTGAAGAGTCATTTTCCCAGGGATTCTTGAAATAGGGAGTTCACTGTAACAAAAACTAGGATGACGGATAAAATGCAAATGAATGAACGTAATTGTGTCAGATACTGTAAGAATTGCAGAATATGGCATCTGGTGGCAGTTAAATTGAACTGCTTAGTGAAGAAAAGTATGTGGGGAATCCTGCATTAGAATTGTGGTAGTTCTCGCGTATATCATTTACCTTTTAAAAAAGAACAGTGGCTAGGCACTTGCACTTAACAAGGTTTGTAGTGTCACTGTTTCCTAGGTGTTTGCAGAAATACCAGAGTCAAACTTCCTTTTAAGTTGCTTGTTTTTTTGGGGGGGGGGTTACATGACTGCTCAGTGCATATGAAGTTACTGAAGCTTTGGCTATACTGATTCTTATCTAGATGCATGTAACTGATGGGGCAAATGGCATTGACATTGTATTGCGTTTGTAATTTAACAATAGAGAATGCAAGTTTCGTTATAGAGATGTAAATTTGTCTGAACATTGTTTAGACTGTTGCGTTATGTCATTATTTGTGAAATCTGAATCTCTCTCCATGGGCAGTTGTCCGGCATCTTTCAGGCAGAACTGCCAAGCATTGGCTGTAGTTGTTACAGTTTTGCCATTTGTGTCTGTGGAGCTGAGTGCAGAGTGCTTTGTTACGCTAAGTAAAAACCTTTTCCCACAAAATATATGTAGAGTACATGCATGATCTTGAAACTGAGGTGGAAGTTGTGGGTGGAGATGTGATGATAGTACTTTGGTCCGTGTTTATGAATGTCTTGTTGATTTTCTTTCAAAGTGCTGATCTCCATGTACTGTAAATGTGATTTTACATTGCAAACTTTGTGGCATGCTAATATTTGCTATTTATCTCTTCCCATTTCCCCCCCTCCCCTTTTCCCAAAGATCCGTTTGTCAGGAAACATAACCGATGATGTAGATGAAGATCCAACAGGAAACAAAGCTTTGTGGGATCGTGGACTTCTAAATGGGGCCTCCCAGAAGGCTGGCATTGTTGCTAATTTCCACGTGGGAGAAATTTGCATGTCATTGCAGGTAATGTTAGCAGTTACTGAGTATTTTCAGTTTATTTTTATTTTGTCATCTTCTTAAAATTGAAGTGTGGACATTATGTTCAGTTATTTTATTTGTGGTTGCTGCTGTACAATGTACTGAGTTACGATTGAGGAAATAATCCACACAACTTGTATGCACTGTTTTAAGTCACCACGGTTGGAAGAAGATATTGATTGTAGGCTAAGCTGTATTATCACTATTCGCTTAATTCATGCAATCACAGAATAAATGCATTCCTCTTTGATATGACATAAGGAAGATATCCCTGATTATCTGATGCATTGAACATTCTGTTGACAAAATTCCACTCCCAAATATCAGATCCAGATTGTTTGGAGCACAAGTAATCTGAATCCATTTTCCATCATTGTTGTCAAGACTTGGTAAAGCAGCCTGATAGTAATTTCTGGCTGGGTCCAAATTCAAGACTCTGTATGTTTTTATTTAGTTACATGCATGAATCAAATTATTACATTGTGTTTTGGAAAATGACATTTGCAATTGTAGGGTAAAATATTGTAGTGATACAGTAGTTTTCAGGCTGAAAGTGATTGCGTATGCTGAGGGACTTTTCAGCTGATCTGCTAGCCTATAGTTCAGTTTGGTCAGCACACAAGAAATGTGGAAGTGAATACTTGCTAAAATATATATATATATATTGTGTCTTGTATAACTGTGTGATTTCTGCACACTGCAGAGAGCAACACTGATTCCTGGTGGCAGTGAGTCGTTGGTGTACACGACATTGTCGGGTACAGTGGGTGTGCTGGTACCCTTCACGTCACATGAGGATCAGGACTTCTTCCAGCATTTGGAAATGCACATGCGGTCTGAGAACCCTCCATTGTGTGGTCGGGATCACCTTTCTTTCCGCTCATATTATTATCCTGTAAAGGTAACCTCCAGTGATTAAATTTTCTGTTAGCTTCCCATGCTGATAACATTGTTGTAAAAAAACTATTTGGTGTGATATAAGAAGTTAGATCTGATAATACCAGCTGTATTATTAAAACATGAACTTAATAGGCTATTTATGTGTCCAATGCAGTGAGTTGTATATTCTGTATTTTTAGTCAGTGGAAGAATGAACATGGGTTGTGGAAATTTGTTGGTTGCCTGGTTTGGCACCTACCTGCACACTCGCCCATTAACAATGCAGGATCATCCCTGCCTCAACAAAATAATAAAACATATGAACTGAGAGTGCGAAGGGGAAGAGATGGGCTGTAAATGGCCAGCAATGGGAGTGGGAAGAGGCGTGTTGAGGGGCAGCAGTAGGTAAAGTAGTGGTGGGACAAATCTGTGTTTATACTTTCGTTGAGCCTAGTGTGGTGTGAGGTGCAGTTATAAGCCACAACATAAATATTTGCCAGATAAGTTTAAAAACCCTCACTCTTCCATGTAATGGAACAGTGAAGAATGTCTTTTTATCTCAGCTGTCCTTGGGTAAATTTTGTTGTATACAGTTGTTCTCTTTATTTGGTTCCAAGGTCTGTAAAAGTGTGGAGACATGTAGCAGTGTACTTCGTTTTGTGGAGTGTATATTTTAGTGGATATAAATCCATAAAATGATCTATACTGTTTTTTGTCACTGGTGAGAAAGCTAATCTTCCATGTCTGTGTGGTTTTACTGTTACACCAAATTTCTCCCATAACTTTATGTAGTGTCCAGAAGAGTATTCTCATCACATAACATCTTTTCATCTAAAACCCCAAACGACCGGGGCTTTGTATGAATTGCTAGCCTTCTGCATGTTTCAGTTTGAGCTTAATATATTGGTTCTATAAGGACATAGAAAGAAACACTGATATAGAGAGTGTAAATAGGTAATGATTTACTGTATATGCATTTTCAGAATGTTCTGGATGGTGATTTATGTGAACAGTTCAACTCCATAGACATTGCCAAGCAGAAGAGTATTGCTGATGATTTGGACCGTACCCCAAGTGAAGTCTCAAAGAAGCTAGAAGATATTCGCACCCGTTACGCATTCTGATTTCAGCACTGGTCCAGCCACATGAAAGCTGTGTCAGTGCATATTAGTTGTAATGTTGACATACTGAATGACAAAACTAATCATTTGCTTCACATCATGCATTCCCTTATGTTATTATTTTGACGAGGTTATCTAATTGGTGACTGTAAAATTAAGAAACGATATACAGTGGAAGTCTCTTTATAAAGGCTGAAACGTGACATTAGAACTTGTTTCTCATAGGCAGTTCAAAAGCTTAATCTTAAAGTTTCTTCTGAAATCAGGCAGTGAATATTGTGACCTTCTTGTGTTATGTGCAGGTAAATATTGTGGTGCCTCATTATGACTGGTGAAATGTGAAGATGGGAGTTTGTAGCGGAAGCAACACAATAAAGCTTTCTGAAATTCTCATATAAGGAATAGCTCAGGTGGAATAAAATGTTGTGGCCCTATCATATTGCCTGTAAGATATATTTTTTCCCTCCATAGTAGGATTTCTTATCTCTCTCTTTTTTTACGTAAAAGTACATATAGTATGGATATACATCTCTTGCCCTGTGCACAAGTGTCATCACCGTCCACCATATACACTTCTCCATCCTTGATTTATTTATAATGGGACTGACGGTTCAGATGAAATGATAGTGATTGGGTAGGTGTATCGGATTCAGTTTACATGAGGATATCAGGGATGATGTCACACATTTCACTGAATGATTATGCATTGTTAATGGTTATTCAGATGAAGTTCCCAAGTTGATATACAGTATCACTGGATGGTAACAGACAGTGTGTCTATATACTTCACACTGGTAAACTTTTATTAATGAATTTGCCCTTGTTGGACTTGGCTCAAGTCAAGTAATTTGTTTTGTTGCACAAGTGGCATTGAAATTGCCTTGTCAGGAACCAATCCAAGACTGGAAACAGCTTTTTTTAAAGCTAGTAGCTATTTCAGATTTGTGACATCAGGGGAATGCTAGTGTACACTCTTAGAGGGATGGAAATTATGGCCTTTGTTATGAATCTTTTATAATTATTCTGTTCTTAACAGATTGTGTGGTGTATTGCCCTGAAGGTAAACGTCCCCAACTCCAAGCCAAATTCACCTCCTGTTATAAACTGACCTCACTAAGCTTCAGTGTCTGAAAAAACTCATTATTACCGAAACAAAGCAAGGCAGTATGATGTTTGATTCTAATATCTTAAATAAATACAAATGTCATAACCAAATTATCATTAAACGGATATATAAGTATATATTGTATCAAATTTTAAATGGGCAGAGTAGAAATCAGTGTCATTGCTTAACATTTTCCAGTCATTGCATATGTTAAAACTTCTGCACCCAGGTCGTCTAGGGATTTTTAAATGCCTGCAGAGCCTCTTAAAGTGAGCTATTTTGCTCAACAAATTGTTGTGCGAAGAGCATAAAGTGAAAAGGCAAAATGTGTACTTACCAGCACAATGCAAGAAGACAAATTCTCTGCCTTGTAGTGGTGTATGACAATCAAGTGTAGAGAGAGGTTTTAGTGTTTTACAGGCTCACATTGCCTGATGTTCTCTAGTATAAAATATACACATATTCCTTTCCTCTTATAAATTTCACTCTTCTGTGTACACAAACAACAAAATACCTGGTCAACTGTGGGACCTACACTAAAACTTTTTGAACACTGCTGTAATATCTGTCAGTGTAAAGGTGGTAGCCTTCTACACCAGGCACAAGTTCTAGTCTGTCCATCAAGGAAAGAACTGTTCTTGAGGTGAAAGTTTTTCTGAGTACGGCAAGTTATGCACGTGACCTGTAAGTTTTCCGTAATACAGAATTATACCGTGAATTCAACCAGTGTCTCTGTCAGCTAATACAAATAATCTGATGCCCCACTTTGTAGGTATTTTTGGATTATAAGTTTTGAAAATTATTTTGCCCTTGAACTCAGCTGTTGATTCATCTATTGCAGTGTTTTTACCTGGCACAAAATATATCTGAAAATGCTTATATATTTTATCACCCAATGTACTTTCCTTGTTCTTTTGATGGTATCATTATCCACATACATCATCCAAAATATAAGCAAAAAGTGAACTCTTAAACATAACATCATCAAAAAATGGTATGTGTTACCCTCTTACTTTTTGTAATGTTATTAGGCCCATAAAAACATCATTTCAGTAACTGACACGTCAGACCAGCTACTCCAGATGGACCTCGGGCTAAGCTGAAGTTCAAAATTTTGCCTCTCATACCTGTTTGTCTTTATAACAGTCTTATTCAGAAGCTTGTAATTGAAAATAAACTAGAATAATGCATGGGCTCTTGCGTCTGGTAGAAGGTTAAATTGTGGCCCAGCGTTTTTAGTAAATTTGTATGCTTTGGGCTTCTTGTCACACATTGTCACTTCCTACCATGAATCAATAAGCAAAACACTTGTTCCACACTCGCTCTCACTTTCAGACATTTCATTTCTTGATTCTTCACTCGCAGTTTCTCTTTCATTTTCCAATTCCATGTCATCGGAGTCTATTTTGAGTTCATTCCTGACATGCAGCATCATATTTTTTGTTCTTTCATGTCAGAAGGCAAGACATCTACCTGAATGCAAAACCATGTTGTGCACATTGATACACAGTAATATGTAAATGGCATTTGTTCCTCAAGTAGTTCAGATTATATGACTTCCAGATGGCAGAAGAATGCAGACTAAACATTCATGATTGCAGTTGTATAGTATACAATGGCAAGTAGCGACATTTGACCAAAATATTGGAGAAACGCAAAAGAAACTTTGTGCTCATATATTGACATTCGTCCCTGGAAGCACACACTCAGTGTCAATTGTATTGACACATGATGAGAAAGGGTTAAAGGTTTTACTCGTGAGCTACAACCTGTGTCCAAAATCAGGTTAGAGAAAGGGAGAGACTGTAGTCAGTGGTGTCAGAACATCTCTTTCTGTTACAGTACAGATGTTCTCAGGATATGGGCCTCCAGAATTAAAATGAAGTAAGCACTGGGGGTTTTGCTGGAAATCTGAAACTACATGTTTGTGAAGCATGAGTCTGCATGAGCAACAAACTGTTATATTCGTTAGGCACTTTTGTGGACTTCTTGATATATCACTGTTTAAGGTGTACAGTGCACTAAATAATTCAGTGGCAGTTTTAGTGGAAGCCAGGGAATTAACAGGCAGAGAATGCAAACAGTTGTTAGACCTTGCATTTTATAGCAGGGCCAAGTCCAAATATAATAAACTGGAACAAGAAGTAATTTTCTTGATTCTAAGATGCCATGAGATAAAAGGGATGGCGTTGATTTTGGTTTCATACTGTGACAGCCGTTTCAGAGACATTGCAAAGTATCTGGGGATTGAAATTTAATGTAAAAATTAAAACACCCAGCAGCCAACTGAGATACCAGTGGAACGTTCAACAGTCACAGAGAGACCCACATTCAGCTCCCCTTTTGGATTGTTGATGGTGAGAATAGGTGTGATCTACCTGCATTGCGTAGTATTAGTTAATATTAAAATTATTTTGTATTTTGAGTCACCAAGCAAGTCCCTATCAGGTAACATGTAATGATGACATTAAATGCAGAAACATGTTGAAATACTTGGAAATCTCCTTTGTTGCCATGTTTGTTTGCTGCTATGGTCTCATTTAGTCGTGGATTCATAGATTCCATCAAGTGTAAGACATGCCCAAATTTCAGAAGGTGTAAAATTGGAGGAAAATGCATCTTGGAATTGAAAGCCCAAAGGTTAGGGCTAGACAAGAAAGGAGTTGACAGACGCACTGGAGGTGGGTAAATATAGATGAAATAAGGGCACAACAAGAAGAAGATGGTTTATAACAACACATCTTGCAGCTTCCCAAACTACAAAGGGCTATCCAGCCCACCCAACCACTCCTGTTAAGACCAGAGGAGTTGGCAGCTCGAATGACCAGTAAGTGCAATGCAGTTCATCTGGCTTGCAGAGGGTAGGGAATATATAAAACAGCAGGTAGGAAAAAGCCAGAAACCTTTGCTTGGTCATAGAAGGGAGGATACATATGTCAAAATTTTATCACTTCAATCTCCATTACTGGAGAAAATTCTTGTGGGACTTCATAGTTGTGGCTTTGTTATTTTGTTGAGCTATTTCTAAGAAAATTGGAATAAAAGCAGTTCACTATAACCCAATGGATGTTTCCTTGCCCCACATTTCAGTTCCATTTCCTATTATTTTAGATTATTACTTGTTAAGTGTTTTATTTGTTACATAGTTTAATATGCAACAGGCTGAATGGTGTCAAAACGGAAGCAATAAAATCATTTGGCCTTCCGCCAGCAAGTTTCAGGCCTTTGTTATACTTAGGATTTTCGAATCTTTTGATTAAGGGACAAGGATGAAAGCATGGCTATTCATGAAAAAGCTAGAGGAGTCCCTTTTTCAGGCCTAAGACCTTCCGTTGTAGCTGCAAGAGATTATTGCACTTTCTATGGTCGTGAACAGACAGTGGCATCGTGGCTGAGATACAGAGCGCGATCTGTTTTCTGTGCTTTCATAGTGAAATCGAATACTGTAGTTTCATTTCAGCCTATATATACATCAAGCAGATAACAATTTAAAAATGTATGTACATCGAATTTTTATTATATATTTAACACATTAATCTGCAATAAAAGTACTGGCTCGTGGATGAGTTTGGGCATAACTCATACATACTCTTTTGTTGTTCACTTAGGTACCATTTTAATTCCTTTAGGGTTTTACTGAAATCTGGTAATTACTACATTTAAAAATATTTACGATTGCATGCGCTTCTACTAGTGGCATGTTTGCGCACTTCCCCGTGTTCGTGGAGCTGAGCCCTTCTGGAGGAGCCGCCAATTCTGCAGCTACTTAAGAATTTCCCAGCATCTTATGGAACCCGAAGGTTCATTACCGTGATCACAAGAGCCCTCCACTGGTCCCTATCCTGAGCCAGGTCAATCCAATCCATAACATCTCATCCTATCTCTCTAAGAGATCCATTTTAATATTGTCCACCCACCTACGCCTTGATCTTCCCAGTGGTCTCTTTCCTTCTGGCTTTCCCACCAATATCCTATACGCATTCCTCTTCTCCCCATTCGTGCTACATACCCTGCCCACCTCATCCTCCTTAACTTGATCATTCTAATTATACTTGGAGAAGAGTATAACTTATGAAGCTCCTCATTGTGCAGTTTCCCCCAACCTCCTGTCACTTCATCTCTCTTCGGTCCGAATATTCTCCTCAACACCCTGTTCTCAAACACCCTCAGTCTGTGTTCCTCCTTTAATGTCAGAGACCAAGTTTCACACCCACACAGAACCACAGGCAAAATTATAGTTTTGTATATTCTAATTTTTATGTTTTTGGTCAGCAGACGAGAAAATAGCTTCTGGACTGAAAGGTAGTAAGCATTACCCGAGTTTACTCTCTTAATTTCCTCCTGAATAAGGTTTCGATCTGTTATCGTTGTTCCCAAATATCTGAACTGTGCTACATTTTCAAAACATCTGTTTTCTATCTTTTATGTCATGATTTTGGTGACGAGACAGCAACATAGTTTTCTCTGCGCCCGCGTCCACTAGAGGAGTTTAAATGTCCGACTGGCCAAATCGGGGTACTTTGGCCACGACGATCATACGTATCATTGGCCCGATCCGGACGTTAAAGGTTAATAACGACACGGTTTGGTTTGGTAGTTTTATTTGTTTAACACTTATAACTACAAAGGATTATAACATTTTCGCTAATATACACAGTAATAATCACTACAGTATATTAAATCTCAGTTTGCTATGTCTTCACCAATCATTTCCTGGTAACGGTTCCAAACGGTGGATCTCCCTCCGCTTCTCTTCTCACGTCCTTACCAACTTGGGACTCGCAATACGTGATGGCAACTCGGCCGACTAGTTACTAAATTGCTGGAACTTTCCAGCACAATCATGGTTATAAATACAGGTGCAAACAGCATTTCTTCACTACTCGTTGCCTGGAAGTGAGGATTTACTGTACACCACATGAGTTATATATGAACTTATAAGCCTCCACACATGTACTTATGTTTCCAAATTAGTCATTTAGGGGTCTAGTTTGACATGCTTCAAGTTCGAGAAATGTTCTAATGGCATTCCTAGCCTCTTTCAGTTTCTTCGTCAGTTCTATCTTTTTGGTGTACATCATCCGTATGTCTGTCTTGACAGGCATCATTCTCAGCTCCTGAGACAGGTCTGAGTACCTTTTCTTGAGCATTTTGAGTGTCTCATTCCTGTAAGAGTCATTTTGGGTAACATTACCTGGTGGGCAAGCCAGAACAGGAAACATGGGCTTGCACTTTGCCTCCTTTTCCAATGCTTCGCGGCGTTCTTTTAGATACTTGGGGATTTCACCTTTCTTGTAGCCGGGAGGGGGTACCAAAGGATCAATTGCTGTTATAGCAGATATATGCCTTTCCTTCATGGACATTACATTTGTTTTTTTGGTATTGGATTCATTTCTCGCACTCCCTGTCTCGTGGTCTTTTTTTAGATTGTTTGGGATGATGCCTCTCTTGCAGGTGGAAGGAGGTTTCAAAGGATCACGTACTGTTTCAATAGATCCCTGCCTTGGCTTCACGGACACGGCATTAGTTTTTCTGTACTCTGTTTCATTTTTCGAATTCTCTCTCTGACGGCGTTCTATTAGGTACTGTGGGATGACGCCTCTCTTGTACGTGGAAGGGGCTAACAAAGGATTGCTTCTTGTTTCAATAGATCGCTGCCTTGCCTTCACGGACATGATATTTTCTTTTATATAATCAGTTTCATTTCTTGCATGTCGACTCTTATGCGTATCTTGCTTGTGCTCACACAGTGATAATTTTTGGATGTCAGGATCATCACTCCTACGAGGCATCTGCTGATCCACTTCACCCGCCGGAAGTTCGTTTTCTGAATGCCGTGACTTAATTAGAAGCGGGTTTCTGGTCGATGAATACTTGATCACTCCCACATTATACAGTTCGTCCAAATTCTCCGGACCAACAGTCTGACACCAGACGCTCCTGCTGCCAGTGAACCCAATGGGCTCCTCGCTGTCCACTGGCATGAAGGCAGAAAAGTCTGCGGACGGTTCAGTGGAGGTTGAAACGTCTGTTTTTTGCTTGAATGACAGTTCAGTATGCTGTCGATGAAGAGAGACTGCCGTGTCATCACTCGGAATCTGCTTGTCGTTCATTAACTGAGAACAGTTAATATGAGAAATTATTTCTGCTGGCACATTTTCAAATGTAGTTCTCCCAGAGTATTCAATGACTGAGTTAGTTTCTTCATTTTCACGCATTGAGCTTTGCATTTCTTGAAACTCTATCACATTTTCCTGGATGAAATTTCTCGTACATTTTGGGTCTGGAATCTCAAGCATTTCCTCGGACATACTCATCTTTAGAAGCTTAGATACTCTGATATATATAGTATAATCCAACAATAAAACTGTCACTCGGACTTTCCAAAGCTCAGTCCTCACGCCAAAGATATGAAAATTTTCTGAGCGTGGATCCCACTTCTACAGTAGTTGTCACGTGTTAGTGACTGAACACGTTGATTGGAGTGTTAATTGAATTTCTCGAACACTTGTAACTATTGGTAACAATAGCAATTTCACGAATCTACGTAGTGTAAATCACTGTACTGAAGCCCACTTAAAGTCTTCTGTCTTCAACAACAGTTTTCTGGTAGTAGCTCCAACAGTGGCTATTCCTCTGCTTCCGTGCTGAAGTTCTCTCTGAATGGCAACTGAGCGCAAGAAATCTCGACATATAGCCTCGTCACCGACCAGATAGAAAACACCGTTTCCAACCGTTATTTAATTGTTGCGAGGCGTTGGCTAGCGGTGGCGCGCTTGTTTATCGAGCCGTTACCACGCAACGGATAATTTTTAAGTAGCCATGTCACAATATGAAAGCATTCCAATTATTTTTTTGGCATATTTCCTTATTTAAATATACTGAAATACCATTTTCGTCATTTTAGTAGTCTACTGATAGAGTTTTCAGTACGTTTAGATAATACTTCAGCATAGTGAGCTGAAGACCCTTAATCAATTACTGCTGGAGGCTTTATGTTATTATTCATATTTATGATAACTGCATCAAGCAATTATTTGTACTTTTTGTAACTGGAATGCTAATTACACTGTGCTCAAGGGTTTTGAAAGTATCCTGTTTTGTAAACAGAATAAAATTAATTAATTCTATGTACTTCATAGTTACAAGTACAGGTAAATAAGGATGGATGCAACTGTAGAAGTATTTGATTGCGCCGGGTAATCTGTTGCAGTGGTGGATATGTTTAAATTAACGTGAATTTCAGAAAGAACAAATTGTGCTAATTACCACCAGTAGATATATGTAGGAGAAGATAAGAGCAACAAGAACTCGTTTTCATTTACGATCAGTCGCACACCATTTAGAACGGAAAACTGGATTTCACATTCGTTCACAGGGTTCACACGGTTCACACTGTAGGAATGCAAAGTGAATATAGTTAAGTTGGGAATTGAGGTTATCTATATGTATGTTGTTAACGCTTTATACATTAAAATAGTGTTATTACAAAATTTGTTATGTGCACTGATACGTGTTGAATTGCCGGTTTGGACAAAGATGTTGAAACGTGAAGCAAATGCACTTGTAAGTAGGCATTCTGTATTTACGTTTGAAGTGTGTATAATGCAAAACTACTTTCTTCTTCATAACCTCTCAGTATAGGCCCTTAAACATGTGAACGATCTTCCTAATAACAGATAAATAGAAAATAGTTAATATACTGTTGACATTCTGTTTAAGAAAGAGTTTAATTTTAGGAAAGACTGACCCACTAACACCTACATACAAACTTGTGATTGAAACGGTACTTGTACTGCCAAATTTCAGAATATGGTGACGTACCTATATACTTGTAGTGTACTGTCTCTGATATTACGATGAGTCTGTTTTATAATATCAATTCTTANTGTGTATGGTGACTGCTGTTCTGCTGTTAACTGCAGTGCCCACTGTGCAGCTTTCGTGTAAACAGAACAGGGAGACTGTTTTACTTCACTTTTCTTTCTTTTTGTTCCTGATATTCTGCTATTCTATTCTCCGTGTTTTTTCTTCATGTTAATGTTCTTAGCCACATCAAAGTGTTAAGCATTTAATGGGTACTGTCATCTGGGATCTGATGTGATATAACCATACAGAAGTTTTTTTTTTTTTTTCCTATTAAGGCTGAAACTTCTATTTTATGCTCATAAACTTCTTTCTTTTTGAGCCCAATGCACAATTTCCAAACAAGTGGCACTGTATGTAGACCCTTGGAGAAAGAGTGATGTGTTATGATCACAGAGACAGCTTTCCAGGAACTACTGACCACAGGATAGGGTGGGTGGAAGACCAGAGGTGCAAAGGAAATTCCAAATGTTGCTACCAGATATGGGTGGAAAAGATATTTAGTAAATACAGACAAGAGACAAATTGGCCAAGATGTTTTTGTTTTTACAGACTGGTACAGATATTGGTAGTTTTGTGTGTGACCTTCATAGAAATGTTACATGTGTATAGAACCTTAGCATGGAATGCTAGAAGGTGGATCAGGTACCAGGTAGACAGGCGGCCAAGTTAAAAAGAGGGTAAAGCTTTTATAAATTAATACAATTTTGCCAGTTTGATAAAAATGCGGCCAACTGTGACAGGTGGCCAGCTTCACAAGCTTCACTGTATATTTAATGAACACACTGTGTATAAATTAATATGAAGTACGTATGTGAATGTCTGTTGTGTACCTAATGTGACCGGCACTGAATGCTTTAAGAAGAAATGGGTGTGATGCTGTGGGCAGTATTCCCTGTAGATGGTACATTTTCGGGTCCAGCAGATGTGAAAGTCAGTTTGGCTACGGATGTAGTAATGGAATTCACGTGCTGCTGTCCTGCAACTCTGATCACAGTTTTACTATGCTACAACAAAAATTCACCAATTCATGCTTCATAATTTGAGACAGTGGCATATACACACTTTCTTTGTAATTTTGACAGTCCTGCTACTGTATTCACAGGCCATACCATCGACATTTAAGAGCAATAATGTCTTGAGTGCACTTGTCACTGCATTCAGAAGTTTGATTTCATAAGGAATACTACAATAACATATAAGAATTAAATAGTATATGCCCTTAATAGAAAAATTCATGTGTCAAGAATTTCCCATGAACTTGCTGAGGCCTTTGGCTGTGTTAATCATAGCATATTGATGATTAAACTAGCTTATTATTTTCTAGACAGTGGTTAACTTCATATGAAGAAAAGGGGTTGAGGCAGAAGCTCCAAAGTTTCGTAACAATTCTTACTGCTGGAGTCCATACAGACTCTGTACTGTGTTTGATACTGGTATAATAATCACTAGTTCTGATAAAAACAATCTTAATAGAACTGTCAGATGATATCTTAGCTTATTCTGAACTTTGACAAAGTAAATCTGATAAAATTTGTAGCAGCAAGGTGATTTACAATCATTTTACCTAAATACTCTTATTATGTTCAATGAAGAAATCCTTATACACACATATATACTCACATATATATATGAAGCAAGGAGGTCCAAGAAGTAGCACTTAATTTGATTTGTTTCATTTTGGTCTGTCACACTAATATTATGAAAAAGTTAAATAGTTCTGTTCAGTGTGACTGGTTATGATTTTCTTACACACTTACACTTACTTACACTTTTCAGTCACACTGAACGGAACTATTTAACATTTCTAGTAGCACTTAAGATTTGTATTTGTGAGGTATGTGGTTTGAATCTTGGCCAGGACACTGCCCTGATTGACAGTGGATATAGTTTTCCTCAGTCCCTCCAGGCAAATGCCAAGACATGAGTCCTTCCATCTGTATCCTTCGCAAATCATTGTTCACTGCTGTCCTGTCATTGGTTGTCATGTAATCTCAATTACAGAGAGATTTGTTAAATAAACGATATGTGTATATTATTCTAATCAGAAATGTCTGTTGTCACTTTTCAAATGTGCATCATGATGATGATGATGATGATGATGGTGGGGGGGATGATGATGAGTGATGCAGTGGAAGCATGTCATAGTATATCTTATTACCACTGACACTGTGAAATTGCGTAGTTAATGGTATGAGTGATTAATATATGAATATATAAAAGGGCTGAGATGCCAGTCAGTGATTAGTGATTCAAAACATGTCATTCATACTTAATAGCTGTGATTATTCCAAGATTCTCATCGTTCGAACTAACCCAGAGAACAGATTACTATTGCACTTGTACTGAAATGTTTTTATTTGTACATAAATCTTTTGTATGCTGTTGGCTTCCCAAAGGAAGCTGTAAAGTTAGCCCTCTTGACTCTAAGAACATAAGATATGTGTGTCTCATTCAGTTATGTTATCTTATGAAGCAGCTGATCATTGCACACTTAAAGTGTCTGCGATAATGTGATTCTTGTTGTCACCACATGTTGATCTCTCCATTGTAATTGGCTTATCCATGAATGAACCCTGCATGCCATTCACCACTCATGATCAGGAATCAGACCCACTCATCTCCTCTCCATGAGGAATGAGAAATTAAGGATAACAGGTAGAGAAATCTTTGAATTTATTCATTAATATTCTCACCTCCTACCGTTTTTTATTTCTGCACACATGTTGAACATTATACTGCAGTGGAAAATGAAATCTTGTGTACACTTTGTAGAATATAAGGGGTAGCATTATCTTATAGTATGGAGCAGTTGCAGTGATGTAGATAGGCACAGTTTGTCTTGTGAAAAAAATATTTGGCAGGGAGAATTTTTGTCTGACCGGTGAACTGAACGGACATTCGTTGACTCATGTTGATGGTCATCTTAAAGTCATTCAGTCGCAGTCTGTCTAGTTGATATATTGTCATTAATTGCTGTATGGTATCATATCCATATTGTTGAAGACCCTATAAGCAAAGCATAAAGTAGACCATATTCCTGTTGTCCCATCATTTATAGAGTCTCTACCAAACACTGCATTCAAGTGAGGTTAACACCTGCTTCGTATCTGATATGTCCCACTTTCAGTTCTTGGCCAGGTTTTTCATTATTTTCTCAGTCCCATCAGGAAGTTGGTGAGACACTACATCAGCGCCTTATTCTGTGATCTTCCTACCATTTGGCACTGTATAATCTGATCTGCTGGCAGTGTAGTTAAGTGAACCATAAATATGTAAAATAAATACAGAGTTCATAGTTTGTCATTCTTGCCACTAGCTCCATCATACTGCATACTAGAGGGTTAAGGGTATGGATTTTGTAATCTATAGAATATTGAGTTTTTGCAGGAATTTAATGTGAACCCTGTTACATGTGTGTGATGACCATGGAGAAGGCAGTGGATGAATCCTCTTGTGTTCTTGAGCATACTGTAAGTACATGGCTTTCAGCAGT